TGGGTTTAAGTGTTGATGTTGCATGTGTAAATGGATCTTATAGCTTTTTAACAGGACAGTCTCAGGGAGAGTGATAAAACAATGATGTTTTTCAGATGTTGTTTCTGTGAGCACTGGATCTCCTCAGGATGTATTTTGAGTCCTTTACTTTTTACCCACTGTACACTCATGGATTGACTTGTGTCTTCCTCAGACTCCTAAACCTGATCATCAAATATGCTGATAACCACCATCATCGGTTTCTCATTCAGTAATAACGATGAATTCGTCTTATAGAGCCGAGTTCCCAAAACGTGGTTCAGTGGAGTAAGGCTAAAACCTCCAGCTGAACGCATCCGAAAACTTGTGAACTGGTCTTTGATTTTTAGTCGCAATAGTTCTTCATTTGCCTGTCGCATCGATAACTCCCAAGTGCAGATTGTTAGAGGAGTGTCAGATTTCTGGGTTCTAACTTGTATAATGACCTGAAATGGGTTAAAACACTGACACCGGGTCGGAAAGAAAGCTCAGTCAGGTCTCTACTTCCTGCGGAACTTAGAGAATTTACTCACTAATAACTCTAAGTTTCTGCTGAACTGTTTATATCGCTGCACCATTGAGAGCTGTTACTTGTTGGTTCTGTGTCTGTGGTGGTTCCTGGGTATCATCACTGATAAGGAAAGAGATCTTTAAACAAGGTGCTCCGCTCTGCTAAGAGACTGTAGGGCTGTGTTCTTTCCTGTCCTGGAGGCTCTTTATCAATCCAGACTTTTTAAACAGTGCCCATGAGAATTATCATTGACTTTCTGGCCACCCAGGAAAAGCCTTCGTTCCAGCTTCTTCCCTTCTGCAGAAGTACTGTTTCTCTGAGATGCAGGACATTCCTCTCTCTGCTCGCGTCTCTCTCTCTCTGCTCACCTCTCTCTCTCTCTGCTCGCGTCTCTCTCTCTCTCTGCTCACCTCTCTCTCTCTCTGCTCACGCCTCTCTCTCTCTGCTCACGTCTCTCTTTGCTCTCTCTCTCTGCTCGCGTCTCTCTCTCTCTGCTCACGTCTCTCTCTGCTCACGTCTCTCTCTGCTCTCTCTCTCTGCTCGCGTCTCTCTCTCTCTGCTCACGTCTCTCTCTGCTCACCTCTCTCTCTGCTCACGCCTCTCTCTGCTCACGTCTCTCTCTGCTCACGTCTCTCTCTGCTTGCGTCTCTCTCTCTCTGCTCACGTCTCTCTCTGCTCACGTCTCTCTCTCTCTGCTCACGTCTCTCTCTGCTCGCGTCTCTCTCTCTCTGCTCACGTCTCTCTCTGCTCTCTCTCTCTGCTCGTGTCTCTCTCTCTCTGCTCACGTCTCTCTCTGCTCACCTCTCTCTCTCTCTCTCTGCTCACGCCTCTCTCTCTCTGCTCACGTCTCTCTCTGCTCACACCTCTCTCTCTCTGCTCACGTCTCTCTCTGCTCACGTCTCTCTCTCTCTGCTCACGTCTCTCTCTGCTCTCTCTCTCTGCTCACGTCTCTCTCTGCTCACGTCTCTCTCTGCTCGCGTCTCTCTCTCTCTGCTCACGTCTCTCTCTGCTCGCGTCTCTCTCTCTCTCTGCTCACGTCTCTCTCTGCTCTCTCTCTCTGCTCGCGTCTCTCTCTCTCTGCTCACGTCTCTCTCTGCTCTCTCTCTCTGCTCACGTCTCTCTCTCTCTGCTCACGTCTCTCTCTGCTCGCGTCTCTCTCTCTCTGCTCACGTCTCTCTCTGCTCGCGTCTCTCTCTCTCTGCTCACGTCTCTCTCTGCTCTCTCTCTCTGCTCGCGTCTCTCTCTCTCTGCTCACGTCTCTCTCTGCTCTCTCTCTCTGCTCGCGTCTCTCTCTCTCTGCTCGCGTCTCTCTCTCTTTGCTCACGTCTCTCTCTGCTCTCTCTCTCTGCTCGCGTCTCTCTCTCTCTGCTCACGTCTCTCTCTGCTCACCTCTCTCTCTCTGCTCACGCCTCTCTCTCTCTGCTCACGTCTCTCTCTGCTCACGTCTCTCTCTGCTCGCGTCTCTCTCTCTCTGCTCACGTCTCTCTCTGCTCACGTCTCTCTCTCTCTGCTCACGTCTCTCTCTGCTCACGTCTCTCTCTCTGCTCGTGTCCCTCTCTCTCTGCTCACGTCTCTCTCTCTGCTCACGTCTCTCTCTCTGCTCGTGTCCCTCTCTCTCTGCTCACGTCTCTCTCTCTCTGCTCGCATCTCTCTCTCTGCTCGCATCTCTCTCTCTCTGCTCGCATCTCTCTCTCTCTGCTCACCTCTCTCTCTGCTCACGCCTCTCTCTCTCTGCTCGCATCTCTCTCTCTCTGCTCGCATCTCTCTCTCTCTGCTCGCATCTCTCTCTCTCTGCTCGCATCTCTCTCTCTCTCTGCTCGCATCTCTCTCTCTCTGCTCGCATCTCTCTCTCTGCTCGCGTCTCTCTCTCTCTGCTCGCGTCTCTCTCTCTCTGCTCGCGTCTCTCTCTCTCTGCTCACCTCTCTCTCTCTCTGCTCGCGTCTCTCTCTCTCTCTCGCTCACCTCTCTCTCTCTCTGCTCACGCCTCTCTCTCTCTGCTCACGTCTCTCTCTTTCTGCTCACGTCTCTCTCTCTGCTCTCTCTGCTCGCGTCTCTCTCTCTCTGCTCACGTCTCTCTCTGCTCTCTCTCTCTGCTCGCGTCTCTCTCTCTCTGCTCACGTCTCTCTCTGCTCACCTCTCTCTCTGCTCACGCCTCTCTCTGCTCACGTCTCTCTCTGCTCACGTCTCTCTCTGCTCGCGTCTCTCTCTCTCTGCTCACGTCTCTCTCTGCTCACGTCTCTCTCTCTCTGCTCACGTCTCTCTCTGCTCGCGTCTCTCTCTCTCTGCTCACGTCTCTCTCTGCTCTCTCTCTCTGCTCGCGTCTCTCTCTCTCTGCTCACGTCTCTCTCTGCTCACCTCTCTCTCTCTCTCTCTGCTCACGCCTCTCTCTCTCTGCTCACGTCTATTGGAAAGAAGCATAAACGTCTGATGAAGAATTACGGACATTGTGTTTTAACAATTTAATAACTTTTTAAAGCAAGCGTTTATATAACATTCAATTTAAACTTTACACTTAGTACAATAATCTTAGAATGTATAAAAACTGACCAGATAACAGTTAGTTACCCACATTTAACTTAAAATTATACAGCTATCTCTAATTAGAAACCACTAATATACATGTATTTTAACGTGTGTGAAGCAATTCATTTAGTTTCCCAAAGGATCAGACAAAATTACCTTTAATTTGTATAAAGTTTAGGTCTGAAAATGACCATCTCTTGACGAGTCGATGACGTAAACTGCACTCAGTGTGCACTGTCCCAATTCCACCTTTTGTGCACACTTGTAACCTGCGCACTCAAACCCTTGCGCGCACTTCAAACAAATGCACACTTCATAGGAGGGCGTAGGGTGCAGTGTGGGTATTGGGACTGGGCCTTCCTCCCCCAGACGAATAAACAAAGCCCACCCTAGCCCCCTGTTGTTTCGGTCATCACCTCATTTGACATGCAAATGTCTTCTGTTCTCTAGATGTTACAGACAAGGCCCGCATCCTTCCACCACCTGAAGAAGATGTGCCAAGTCTGGGATCGCGTCTTAAATTCAGACAGAAGACATGTTTTATTGTCGATGGTAGAGACAGCACGAACAACAGATACAACAGAATACAAGTGTATTATACAGAGCGGAGGCATGGAGACCTCCAATCAGCAGCTTCCACGTTGTGCTTGTAGCTTGGCCTTCAGATAGACAAAACATGAAGTGGAAAAGTACTGGCTTCTGCACATTGATAGAATGATGAGTTTAACTTTAACAAAAGTTGCTTAAAAGTGTTATGAAATCTCACATTCCCCCCTCTGGTCACACATTCACGTGTGACCATCAGGATCGATAAACAGCAACATAACATCATAACTCAATACTTAAACTCGGTACTTCAAAAAACTCAGAAAACTCAGAAAACATTTTCAAGAATGTCAGCTCTGATAAAAAATTACATGACTTTAAAATAAACATTTATACCAATATGCTTGTGTTCTGAAAAAATAAAACCTTTTAAAGCTTTTCCACGTCAACATTTATTTTTCAATATGTACACTTAAATGTAACTATATATTCAATATTACATTTTGAAACATTAATATTTATCTTCCAACAGAACTCTGTACCATTTTTCCTTACCACTCCAGTTTTAACAACAAAAAAAAGTAAAAAGATGAGTAGACATTTTTTTTAAAGATTTCTAAAAACTTTCTTGAAGGACTTTGGTTTTAATCATGTTCTAGTCGTTTACGTCTCATTCAAATTCTGAAGTTGTATTTAGAGGGAGTCTGATCAAATACATTATATATATATATATATATATATATATATATATATATAATATATATATAAAACAATTCCTTGTGATATACAATATTTTAAAAAGGAAACAACTACCAATAAAAAGGGCAATGTGAAATGAATATTTTCATCCAAATTTTGATTTTGTTTTCCTGCCTTTAAAAGTTTCAGAACCCCTGTCCTACACAATGTGTAAAATTACTAAATCATAGTGAGTGAACAGATAATTCCCAAATGAACAATCCACATCCCTAGGACAAAAAAAAAAATGGCTACATCTACTGCAGAGGGAATTACAAAGGTGTCTGCTGCAACACACAAACATGCAGTTGCAGTTCACAAAACTGATACATTGTGCTTCTAAGCCTCTATAACTCACCATTTTGAATTTTCAAACACTTTTTATATTTGAACAATGTTAGAACAGGGTCAAAAGTGAGGATTCCTTAATTCAAACTTTAAGACAGCTTTTTAAGGAGTGAACTGTATCTCACAGATGCTCTTGGTTTCACAGGACTGAGACCAATCAGTAATCTCTGAAAAGTTTCAAATGTGTGCTGAAGCTTGGGTGGGTATTTCAAGTCCAATGCGTATATAACGCCAACAAGAATACAGGAGGCCTTGGCTACAGTGCCCAAACCTGTAATGCATTGAAGGCCATCAATGCTGATCTCGTACGTGTCACCAACTTTGACAATCTTCACTGGATAGGCGATATTCTGCCGAGTGTCTTCAGTTTCCTCCAGACTCTATTTGAGAGGGAAAAATACATTAGACATTGATATGTTTTGATAGTCAATGCAATAGGTTGTGTTCACGTGTTCATTTAAAACTGAGGTGGAGGGCAAGTGAAAATTCCATGGCGTTAACTATGGTAACTGGCAAACTGCATATTTTTTATCTTAGTTTTTGGTTAATGAGTAGTAGTACTCCTAGTATTACTGAGATCATTACTAGGAGAATCCACATGAAAAAAACTGTCTCAAAGTTCATTGTCTCCTCTTTCAGCACATAATGATTTCAAAAATTGTCATTGGTTTATATTATAAACCAATGACAGTTTTTGAAATCATGAGCGTGATGTTGGTCAGTAGAAAGGACTTTCAGCCATACAAATAATAAAGTGGGTTAGTAAATCTAATCACTGTCAAATACTGAAGAGGAAAAACATTTGTCAATTTTTGTTTGAGAGTTCGTACAAAATCTGTATTTCTCCCATAGAGTTGTATTGACAACTGCCCATCATCACATTATAAAACGTGAACGCAACCTATTCAGAGAAACTGACGGCTGATGAGCTGTGCAGACATTTTCAAGTCGATTATATCTGTTTAATTTTGAGATTTGTCACTAAATTACATAATTTGTGTCTAAATGCATCAGTAACAGCTTAAATATATTTGATACAACACATAAATTCAGCCATTATGTATGTTATAATGTTGCAGGAATTATTTGACGGTACAAATATATATTGTTTGTTCAATTAATGTTTAGAAAAAGTGAGCACACTGTGTGGAATTTCTCACATTTCTGCCTAAATTAGTTTGACAGTAACATTAGACAATATTTGAAGAAAGAAAAGAACTTCCACAAGGAGACGGCGACATGAGGTGCCAAACACATACGCACATACTTTGTCTTAAAGCATAGCGATAGCGGGTTAGCTCAAGCTTCATCATTGTTTTGTTTAGTTACACTGCAGTCTGGAAAGAGGAGAGCCGACATGCGCAGAGGGATACAGCCGAGCATTTCATCCAGAGCGGTTTTGTAGCCACGAATTACATTTAAAACTCGGTTTAGAGCGGCGCTATACTGTGGAGTTTTCACCAGATTATCTACTGTAAGAAAGTCTGAAATCTACGTTTGATCGGCCCCTCTGATCGGCGCATTTCACCAATCACAAAAATTAGGCCGTGATCGACCAATCATGATTGGTGATAGATCAGATCGGTGCACCTTTAATTCATACCATACAGGTCCAGCTGCTTTAGCCAGCTCATGTTCATTCATGTCCAACTGAAGTTTTCCAGTGACCATTCCATCCAGAGGGCTGGGGGAATGTCATATGGTCAGATGTTTGTGAAGGCTCTCATTCATCCAGGGAGTGTCCATCTTATAAAAAGGTTAAATCATCGCCAGGACTGGGTTTTGGTAAAGTTGAGTGATATTGAAAACAATTTGAATAGACATTTTTGGCAGTTTTGGTTCTCTCCTTCTGGAAGGAACCTGGGTCTTTTTAGTTTTTAGTCCAGTTTGGGTAAGTGTTCTTTTATGACTTTAAGAGCTCTGAAGAAGCTTGTGTCACTAAAAGCGAAACATCCTCAACTTTACCAAAACCCAGTCCAGTAGATGATTTAACCTTTTCTACATGATTGTAGATTATTCTATGGTCAAATGAGACCAAAATGTTTTTTAAATAATCTGCATATGCTGACTTTTAGCATATGCAGAGGATGAAGAGGATTTGGTGATACTACTACTCTTAATGATAGACATATCAGCATAAGGTACGGTACTTTTTTTATACCCTGAAAAAGAAAAAATTGGAAATTTTACCTGTAGATCTGAAATCAAGTCTCCTGGCTTCTCCCCCATGTATTCAATTAGGCCTCGGATTACGACTTCCCTCCTCTTTTCTATAGCAGCGGTTGGATCCTACGAAACAACATAGAAATAAAAAACACCACAAATTAGGAAGTATTCAGCACTTCTTATCTTGAATATGTTTTCATATTTCTGATTGTGTTCATTTAGATATAAAAACGTATATAATGACAAATGATGGAAAATCTCCTCTCTTGTTGCCAAGGACTCACCGCAAATCTTGCGGTGAGTGTAATGTATAATGTATAATGCCCCCCCCCCAAAAAACTATTGCATCCCTAGCGAGTACATTACATTCACTTCATTTATTAACAGTTCTTTTTGTATCACACTTACCTCCTGCTGTAGCTTTCCTCCATCAATTGGCAGCAGTGAAAGGAAAAATCTAAAATAAAATAAAATAAAATTAATAAACATGCTTAAAAATACTCTTCATTGGACAAATATCATAAGCATTTAAACAGGCGGTGCTGCTTTTTACATATAAAAAATGCATTAGATTAGTACAAACAAAGTGCTTTGTGCATTTTGCGTTACTACACGTGATTCCACAAAAAACATGCTATACCACAACATGTACCTGTCTTTAGCTGAATGTATTACCTTGTCAGGACTTGACATTAAGTGCTTTGAGGTACTTGAAGTGGCAGGTATTTTTTACTTGCCCGGAAACAAAACCTACTTGTCCAGCAAAATATCGTTTATTTCAAAATTAACATGCCAAAATGTTGTTCATATGAAATGCGAATGTAAGTCACATTAGATTTTTAACATTTCCACTCTAATTTTGTGACTGCAATAGGCTATAGCAGTCACCCTCAGTATGTTCTTTTAAAAATGCATGTTTATAAATGTATCACTTATACTTTGTTTGGGTTTTTTAAATGTGCTGCAGATTTCTGAATGTATTTGAACTTATCATAACTAACCATATAGCTGCACATTGGCTAAAACAGACAGGCCTTGATATAATACAGTGATGCTGATGCGGACGGGTCATAACATTAACAACATGCAGTAGCTGTTAACTTAACGTTAGTTTTCTGCTGAAACAAGCTACTTTCTGACCGCGAGGAAATCAGAGCGATCTCAGATAGCAATAAACATGTTTTCTGCCTCCGCACCATGCTCTGCACCTGTCTCCTCCTTGAGAGTCGCTCCGCTGAGCTAATGTAACTAGGGATTTCTGCGGGGAAATGAACTGTCCCCAAGAGTAGAAAATAATAGAAGATTAATAAATGTCACGTGGCTTCTGTTGCCAACTGTATTTTCCACTTGCACCTCCGGCAACAAGACAGAGCAGGACAGTAGCGACTTTGGTCTACTTATGTTAGCTGCGTACCGTTAGCAACAGCTAGCTAGAAGCTAGCAGCTCCAAACTGCGAAAACTACGCCTGTTATTATGGTTCAGAACATTTAAGGGGTAGTTGGTAATGTTACGAGTCTTAACACAAATCACTTTGCTAAACAACGAAATTGTAGGACCATTATACTGGCACAGTTTTATGCTAACAACATGTTTGGGGCTAGAGTAGACAGTTAACATGAAGTAATTTTGGACACGAACTGCCAAGAAAATAAAACGACGATTTGACCACAGATTGTATATATTTGATCAAATACGCGACAAACCTTACAGAGAAAGCACCATATATTTAAAAAATCTTACTTTGAGTTGGATCTCACGGGAAACCACACGACCGTGTCCAAGGCTGGCTCAGCGCCCATCACCAACAACAAGCTCGCGGAAACGGTCCGAACCGGAAGCAAACTCCCGCCCAGTAGAAATTACTTTGTCTGAACACTTATTGATAGCGTCAGATTTAAGAAGCACTGCACTGCCAACAATATTTTTTCAAAATTTAGTTAAATACACATACAAAACGTATTTGTGGGTATATTGTTTTTGTTTTAGTAAATGGAAATTATTTTTCTAATATTAAAACCATAAGAATAAATTTTAAGTCCGAAATTGCAAATACAAGTACTTAGGTTCAAAGTTGCGCTTGCAACACTTTTCTCAGTGTGCAGTAGTTTTAATGTCTGCGGGTTATTCCAGAGACTACAAGGAGTTGCCCGTTTTAACCAGATTGTCGATGTGCGCGGGGCAGAAACTCGCCAATGTAACCCTGCTCACAAGTGCCACCTGGTGGTTGTTTTGGTCATTGCAACGTCACTGGGAGGGGGGAAAATAAAAGACGCGTGAATCACACGTGAGTCTCGTGTGATTCACGCGTGAAAGGCGACAAAACGGAATGGGACCTACTGTAGACCAGAGCAGGTTATAGACCAGAGCAGGTTATAGACCAGAGCAGGTTATAGACCAGAGCAGGTTATAGACCAGAGCAGGTTATAGACCAGAGCAGGTTATAGACCAGAGCAGGTTATAGACCAGAGCAGGTTATAGACCAGAGCAGGTTATAGACCAGAGCAGGTTATAGACCAGAGCAGGTTATAGACCAGAGCAGGTTATAGACCAGAGCAGGTTATAGACCAGAGCAGGTTATAGACCAGAGCAGGTTATAGACCAGAGCAGGTTATAGACCAGAGCAGGTTATAGACCAGAGCAGAGGTCCCCAACCTGTGGCTTGGGACTCCTGATCCTATTTTAACTATAAATGTTTACATTATCACAGGGATACTGTATTATATACTGGTATATTCTGCTGCGTGGCATTGGTCCACGTTCTGTAGCTTAGGTCCTGGATCTAAAGCCTGTCCGTCTGTGGGAGCGGATCCCTTTCTCAATATGGGTCTCCTCGAGGTTTCTCACTTTTTCTCACTGGTCTTTCCTCTGATGCAGGAGGGTCTTGTTGGGCAGTTAGTGTCCAACTAGAAGGACTGTGATGATCCAGGACACTTTAACATTCTACATGTATGACATTATCAACATGTGTTAACTGTTGATTCTCTGACCTGTGTTGGTGATTTCAATGGTTTTGTTAAGTCTCTGAGATGACTTCTGTTGTGATTTAGAGGTATACAAGAATAAAGTGTTGTAGTTGTATATTCTGCATGAGTGTTCTCCATGGTTTGCTGTAGTTCTTATTTTATTATGTCTTCTAAAGCTCTCTGCCATTTCTGTTTTATAAAAGCAGCTCTACAATTGAGAAAGGTACGAGACCCTTAGGCTAGAGCAGGAACGTCAAAGTCAAATACATCAGAGGCCAAAAAAACTAATTTGCAACAAGCCGACGGCCGGACTGGTTCAATGTTTATTAAAACATTTAGTAAAATTGAATATATCCTATTGAACCAAGACCCAACCCTAACACATATGTTATTTAATGATTAAATGAATGTCTGTGTGGAGTGAGAGACAGATGGAAAAGTGCTTTGTGACGTACTTCTATCAATTTAACACAAACAATACATATTTTTATTCTTTGCCTTCAAAATCTTGGCACTATCAAAGTACCTTGGATTTAGTGTGGTTGTATTTTGCATTAGGCTGCCAGTTTCTACATCAAATCTTCCACGATTCAGTGCATCAAAAGAATGAAAAGTTGATTTACTTTGGGAAGGTTGGAATGTGTTTGCACAATACACAGAATTTGAAGATATTGCCAGTTTAAGTTTAGATATTGCACACAATTCTTTACGTTTGGATAACAAAAGCCCCTATGGGACTTTGTATGTGGATGTTCAAGTGAAGAGCAGACCCAATCTGCACACGGGTCTCAGTGTGTGAGCCACAGCTCTCTCTCAGCGTTGCCCATTGAGCATAAATGAGTGCTGTTTAGAGCAAACTGTGCTATATAAGCACAGTTTATTGTCACAGAGAAAGCATCAAACTGACCATGATGCATTCTGTTGAAATGAACCAGACTGAGAGCGCAGGACCTGTCCACACCTACTCTGTCCAACGCACCAGTAACAGCACCAGCAGCAGCAGCACCAGCAACAGTGCTGATACTGTCCTCAGCTGCTGTGGTATCCAACAAAGGCACCAACTCTAAAATCTCCTCTGTAGTGGGGTTAGGGTTAGGGTTAGTCAAAGTTTCAGTAACACTCATAATGAATATGCGACATGAGTGACATCAGTCTCTTATCAACGGCAACAGAAAATGCCAAACATGACTTCAATCAGTAGTTCTGAAATCCTTTCTGCTGCATCTGGACAGGCTGATGTTGGTAAAAGTGTGTGGTTTCTCAGGACACAGTCTGCAGTCTGTATGAGAGTTTTAACAAACTCACTCTCACTGTGCGGCTGCGATGCTAATGCTAATGTTGTTAGCATTCAGGTAGCTTCCCTTTACAGCGTCACTAACCTCTCGCTCTGGGCTCAAACAGACTGCTGTTCTTCAGGGCCAGACACGTTTATCTTCTGTCTTCTCAATTCTCTGCTCCAATTGCCGTATTTTTCGCTGAGTCTCAAAGTTTAAGATAATAAGAATAAGAATTTAAGAATAATTTTACATAAATGAGCCGCGGGCCATATCAAATCTCTTGGCGGGCCGGATCCGGCCCCTGGGCCGCATGATTGACACCCCTGCAATAGACGATCTATATTGTTCGTAGACAAGTCTATGGTGGGAAGAAGGCAGAGAACTCGAGGGCACTCTGACATTGAATACAAATCATTTATGGACACATTGACACCTAACTTAGTGATGTCACATGCTTGCAACAGGTGACACAATAATAATCATCAATCAACAATCAATAATAATCAATCAGTCATATTTATATTTATGTATTTAAAAGCCAAAGAGAATATTGACACACAAGTGGATGATGATAGATTTTTTTTTTATGGTTCTAAGAGGTTCTAAGTTTTGAAACAGTATGTGACTTGTATCAGAGAGTTGGCTGGATGACTATGTGGCTAGTGTTAAGCATAATCCCGTGTGGACTTTTTACAGCCATCCTTATTAGCGTGGCTATCGTTTGTCTTATTGTGTTTGTAAGTCCACACCTGTGCTGTACGGCTATATTATCCACAATAAAAAAGAAAATGCTTCTTTGGAACAGTATGTCTACTGTAGCAGGTATTGTACTGTACTATATATACATTTAAGGTAGTTGTTAGGCTAGACACTACACTACATCTGCTTACAACTGTGGATATGGATATAAGCATGATTAATATGATTAAAGTCTTATTATTTCAAATGTTCAAACAAACATTAAGACCATCGTTTCCCATCGTCTCTATAGTACGTACATATACGTACATATGTACATATATGTACGTATATGCACGTATATGTAGGTACAGAATATACTGTGTTGGTGTTTCTCCTTCTCTGGAGCTGTGCTGGAGCTTTGTCACACGGGTGGAGCGGGTGGAGCGGGTGGAGCAGCTGCAGAGAAAACATGATGCAACGGTGGCAACATCCACGGAGGCTTTGCACTTCCTTAACACGGTTTGATCCAGCTTCAATGGTCCGCTTCAATGGTCCGCTTCAATGGTCCGCTTCAATGGTCCGCTTCAATGGTCCGCTTCAATGGTCCGCTTCAATGGTCCGCTTCAATGGTCCGCTTCAATGGTCCGCTTCAATGGTCCGCTTCAATGGTCCGCTTCAATGGTCCGCTTCAATGGTCCGCTTCAATGGTCCGCTTCAATGGTCCGCTTCAATGGTCCGCTTCAATGGTCCGCTTCAATGGTCCGCTTCAATGGTCCGCTTCAATGGTCCGCTCGCATGACTCCACCATACACAACAAACGCAACAATCTTTTTATCAAACGGAACTTTTTTTCGTCAGAGAGACCGGGAAAGAAAGGAGTTTTTTTTCCAAAGGGACCATCATAAATTGGCACATATTTATAAGATTAAGATGAAGTTTAAAAGTATAAAATATCTAACTTTAGCATTATAAAGCTGGTGATTTTATTTCCAAAAACTCACTCAAAAGGCCTTATTATACGTCTTTCAAATTTGAGTTGTAAAAACAGTGAAAGAATTCAAATGAAAACAAACTAATATCTTTACTCATGACTTGTCAGATTGAAGGATGAAAACTCGTCAAAACTAGTGTTGAAATTAGTTTCTTAAGGTGTTGCTCAAAATCGTCCAATAAATATATAAAGTTAAGTTAAATTCAGAATTTTTCTTTAACAATAACAAGATTTCAAAGTCATAAAAAGAGAGGCTAGATGGTTTCCAATGTTTATTCTGAAGTTAATTAAATTTCACTTTAATTAGTTTGATTTTTTTTCTACTAGAGTTATAATGAGTATGCTACACACAATGAGTATGCTACACACAATGAGTATGCTACACACAATGAGTATGCTACACACAATGAGTATGCTACACACAATGAGTATGCTACACACAAATCAAAATAAGACATTTACTCCATGATAATAATCATTTTCTGCTCTCAGCAACAACATGTCTGCAATGACTACGGGTGTGATTTAGGGCTATACAAGAATAAAAGTGAAATGTTGTTCCTCTAAAGAAAAGTTCTTTAAATCTACAGCTGACTCTTTCCAGACGGTTTCTCCAACCACAGAAACACAAAGCATTTATACATTAGCTCTAACACATTAAAAATAAAAACTATTTGTTCTGTACTAGTTCTGGAAACACCTGCGGAGCCAAAGTATCGGATCAGACTCTAAAACAGTCAGCCTTTCTCACACTTGTCATATGGGAACCGTCCATTCATTCAAAGGTGTGGTTTACGATTATTCACAGCCATTTATTGGATGCAACAATGTCCGTCAAACGCATTTATTTGGCTGCCATCTGCTGGATCTGTAAACTAACTTTGGGCTTGCGTCTGTCCAATAGTGTCTCATTGTTGTCCTGCCGTCCCATGTTCTCCCCAAATCCATGCAAAAATGTTGACCCGAGTTTCCAGGCTACTTTGCGGTTTGAAATAATTTGAGTGAACACAGCAGCATGAGGACTCCCAGGCTATGACAAAAGGGTACACCCAAGAATTTAGCTAAAAAAAGATAATTTGATTCTGATTATCTGCTAATACTAATGAACAAGTATAAACTATGTTCTTACAGTGCAGGGCCTCCACTTGGGAAACTAGTGTGAACTATGCTAACATACTTCCATCATTTGATACTCTCATCCTAAGCCTTTTCCACTGATCAAAGTAATCCTGATAGCACTAAAGCTAGCTCCCAAATCGCCACGGTATAAAGATAACACGCTATTAACATCCTCTGTTAGCGCCGCTCAATGGACAAGTGACTCACCGCGTTAGCTTCCCTCAGCGGCGTATGCTAATTCCTCTCAGAAGTTGCCGAGAAGGAGCGGCGTCTGCAAAAGAGAAAAAAAGAGGAGATGAATAAGGGCAGATAAAAAAGAACAAAGGCTTTCACCAGAGATGTAAGACGAGCAGGAGGACTGTGCTCGGAGACGCTCCCCTGACTCCAAATCCTCGTGGCGCCGAGCGAGCAACGCCGCTCAAGCAGTATTACAGATAATGCTACGCTAGTTTTCAGCCAAAAACGGCAGAGGTGTGTCGAGGTTCATCCAAGAAACTTTCAGACAGAACTTTATGTAAGACTGTTAAATAACATACAATTCCATAAGGTTTGTTAACAATCAAGTTTAAAGTATATTTATTTATCTCAAAGTTATGTGCACAAACTACAACAACAGACAGGATACAGAACAGTGGTACATGGTTTGAAAAAGGGGTTGGACGAACCAGAAGATCATTCAGCTCCTACTCCTGTGTTTCCTCTGGACTTGTAAAGGTTCTAATGCAGCTCAGCACATTGACTTGCATAGGTTTGTATGAAATGTGCTATATTAATAAATATTAACATTGCTTTGATTGCTTGAAGTGCTCATTCAGTTCAATGTATTATTATTATGGCCCTAAATCACAGCAGCAGTTATCTCAGAGAACAAAGCTGTTGATTCACCGACACAGATCAGAGAATCAAACAGTTCAAACACAGTGAATGTAAGAATAAAAACACAGAGCCATTGGTTCATAACGGTCAGAGGACGTTGATAAATGTAAGGACCGCCATTATGGGGTATCTCCAGATCGCCTTGGCAACCATGTTAGCAACACTTATGTCTTTTACAGCACAAAGCTAATGTCGTCAGAACAAATGCTCATGAGGAAATTGGCTCCAGCTAGCTCTACTCGGCTCAGCTCGACCTCTTTGTGTTTCCAATAAAATCTGATACCTTATCCTGGCAACCTACCCACAGTAAAACACTATTTGGGAAATTCCTTGGTACCCATGGCTTCCAGCACTCTGCCCATTCACAGTGATAGTACCAGCTTGGTCTGGTTAGAATCAGGGTCAATAGGGACTCAAAATTACCCAGGAGTAGTTAACACGAGGACTCCCATAGTTCTGAAACTATTGGAACACCCAGAGCCATCATTTTGACTGCTCCCAATTTTTTGTTTTTCAACAGATTCATGAAAAGTAAGTCTCTTTTAAATACGTACTAAATCTGGTGAACATGTTATTTTACAACAAAGGTTACGCCAACTGCTGACAGTAAATAGTGTGTTGCTATGGTAACTAGTACTGGCTCTTCTCCAGGCGTGAAAGGTAGAACTTCTCACATTTCAAAAATAAGATCATTGAATCAAAATAATGACATAGATTTAAACTACATATGAAAAAAGTAGAGTAGAGTAGAGTTTGGCCCAGTAGGGCTGGTGGAAACAGGGCTCATGTGTGAAGCCTCTCTTCAGGGACAGTGTTCTCAGTGTACAACGCTGGTCTTCAGCGTCTGACCATGTAGGCCCCGTGACCATGTGGGCCCAGTGACCATGTGGGCCCAGTGACCATGTGGACAGTGGCCCTCAGCTGCAGGTTTCCCATGTCCGTCCCTCTGAGAGACGCCTGTGACTGACCTTTGATGCGTTATAATTGGACTAGAAGAACAGGACATGATGAATTAGTCTTTTTCAATTGAGTGACTCGGTGCCAAAGGATCTATTCAACCAGAAAACCTGCCCATGGTTCATGAATTAGTAGTAGTTTTTTTTTTAGCTAATCTCTGTTATTTAGCCTGAAAATTCACCAAATCATATGATTGTTAATAGCAGTGTCTTGGGAAATGATATCGCGCTTCTCTATATTACCGTCTTATGCCCCCTGACGATGGTTATTTCAAAGTCACGCCTGGTTTTCTTTGGCGTGTGTTGCAGCACGCCTGGTTTTCTTTGGCGTGTGTTGTAGCACGCCTGGTTTTCTTTGGCGTGTGTGTTGTAGCACGCCTGGTTTTCTTTGGCGTGTGTGTTGTAGCACGCCTGGTTTTCTTTGGCGTGTGTGTTGTAGCACGCCTGGTTTTCTTTGGCGTGTGTTGCAGCACGCCTGGTTTTCTTTGGCGTGTGTTGCAGCACGCCTGTAGAACTAACTAATCCTCAAATTAGGTTAGAAATCAAGGAGTAATAATGGACGCAAACTTACATTTTTAATCTGTAACAATTGCAGCTCATTTCCCCCGACTCCCACTGATGTCTGCTGTCGTTGTGCCCTTGGGCAAGACACTTAACCCCACTTTGCCTGAAGCCCCCGCTGAAAGATCAAGGCTATACTCTCACTGACAGAGCAGCCATCCACCTCTGTGAGTTGGGTGCAAGCTCTGACTGCCACCCCCAACCCAGAAATGGATCAAGTGGAAGTAGATCCATTTGACTGAAGGACTGCACCTGCTCTTCTTTTAAATATACTGTGATTATATCTGCCTTTACTGGTTTTCATATTTGTTTCAGTCCTTGTTTTGCATGTATTGTGCTGTGACTGTGACTCTGACAGACATTAAAAACAGATAAATCCCTTAGACAGAGGGTTTCTATGGTTTGACCGTACGGTTCATGAAGTAATCCTTTGTTGATGTGTGTACAGTGAACTATGTCCCAATAATCTACTTCACTGTAAAGATGAGCTCCCTCTGCAGCAGAAGCTCAACCACCATTATGTTCTGAGATCACACAGTGGGTCTCCGGGCGCTGCCGTGGGACCGCCCACTCCCCCCGACACGTTATGAAGCGATCAAACATATCAAGTGCGTAAAAACACACCATAACTTCCATTACTGCACCGTGTTGCCAGTCATTCAAATGATCAGGAACGAAAAATGATCCAGAAAACGTTACACTAATTACGTTTTTTCTAAGTTGCTTTTCCCACAATCTCACAAAAGGAACAGCCTCTGGGACAGTTGTATATCACAGAACAAAGGACCTGACAGGAGATATGAGACGAGCTGTAAAAGCAGGCTCCGGAGCACGGCCTGGCTCTGAAATGGTGCAGATATGGAGCAGCAGAAAGATGGTTTGGAGCAGGCCGGGGACAGGGAGAGCGAGCTGGGCCATGAGGTGCTGAGAGCCTTCATCTATCAAGGAGGACAGTGCAAATATGGAGACAGATTTTACAAGCACTGGGAAAACTGTCTCTCCTGCGTTACTAAGTCTTTTGTCATAAATAATACTGTTGTTTCCAGTGTTGGGAAAGTTGCATCAAAATGTTAAACTCGAGGTAGTACTGTTGTTGATTCAGAGTAACGCCTTACACTACAATATTACTGTTGTTGTTGATTTAGAGTAACGCCTTACACTACAATATTACTGTTGTTGTTGATTCAGAGTAACGCCTTACACTACAATATCACTGTTGTTGTTGATTCAGAGTAACGCCTTACACTACAATATTACTGTTGTTGTTGATTCAGAGTAACGCCTTACACTACAATATCACTGTTGTTGTTGATTCAGAGTAACACCTTACACTTCAATATTACTGTTGTTGATTCAGAGTAACGCCTTACACTACAATATTACTGTTGTTGATTCAGAGTAACGCCTTACACTTCAATATTACTGTTGTTGTTGATTCAGAGTAACGCCTTACACTACAATATTACTGTTGTTGTTGATTCAGAGTAACGCCTTACACTACAATATTACTGTTGTTGTTGATTCAGAGTAACGCCTTACACTACAATATCACTGTTGTTGTTGATTCAGAGTAACGCCTTACACTACAATATCACTGTTGTTGTTGATTCAGAGTAACGCCTTACACTTCAATATTACTGTTGTTGATTCAGAGTAACGCCTTACACTACAATATCACTGTTGTTGTTGATTCAGAGTAACGCCTTACACTACAATATTACTGTTGTTGTTGATTCAGAGTAACGCCTTACACTACAATATTACTGTTGTTGATTCAGAGTAACGCCTTACACTACAATATTACTGTTGTTGTTGATTCAGAGTAACGCCTTACACTACAATATTACTGTTGTTGTTGATTCAGAGTAACGCCTTACACTACAATATTACTGTTGTTGTTGATTCAGAGTAACGCCTTACACTACAATATTACTGTTGTTGTTGATTCAGAGTAACGCCTTACACTACAATATCACTGTTGTTGTTGATTCAGAGTAACGCCTTACACTACAATATCACTGTTGTTGTTGATTCAGAGTAACGCCTTACACTTCAATATTACTGTTGTTGATTCAGAGTAACGCCTTACACTACAATATCACTGTTGTTGTTGATTCAGAGTAACGCCTTACACTACAATATTACTGTTGTTGTTGATTCAGAGTAACGCCTTACACTACAATATTACTGTTGTTGATTCAGAGTAACGCCTTACACTACAATATTACTGTTGTTGTTGATTCAGAGTAACACCTTACACTACAATATCACTGTTGTTGTTGATTCAGAGTAACGCCTTACACTACAATATCACTGTTGTTGTTGATTCAGAGTAACGCCTTACACTTCAATATTACTGTTGTTGATTCAGAGTAACGCCTTACACTACAATATCACTGTTGTTGTTGATTCAGAGTAACGCCTTACACTACAATATTACTGTTGTTGTTGATTCAGAGTAACGCCTTACACTACAATATTACTGTTGTTGATTCAGAGTAACGCCTTACACTACAATATTACTGTTGTTGTTGATTCAGAGTAACGCCTTACACTACAATATCACTGTTGTTGTTGATTCAGAGTAACGCCTTACACTACAATATCACTGTTGTTGTTGATTCAGAGTAACGCCTTACACTACAATATCACTGTTGTTGTTGATTCAGAGTAACGCCTTACACTACAATATCACTGTTGTTGTTGATTCAGAGTAACGCCTTACACTACAATATTACTGTTGTTGTTGATTCAGAGTAACGCCTTACACTACAATATTACTGTTGTTGATTCAGAGTAACGCCTTACACTACAATATTACTGTTGTTGTTGATTCAGAGTAACGCCTTACACTACAATATTACTGTTGTTGTTGATTCAGAGTAACGCCTTACACTACAATATCACTGTTGTTGTTGATTCAGAGTAACGCCTTACACTACAATATCACTGTTGTTGTTGATTCAGAGTAACACCTTACACTACAATATTACTGTTGTTGTTGATTCAGAGTAACGCCTTACACTACAATATTACTGTTGTTGTTGATTCAGAGTAACGCCTTACACTACAATATTACTGTTGTTGTTGATTCAGAGTAACGCCTTACACTACAATATTACTGTTGTTGTTGATTCAGAGTAACGCCTTACACTACAATATTACTGTTGTTGTTGATTCAGAGTAACGCCTTACACTACAATATCACTGTTGTTGTTGATTCAGAGTAACACCTTACACTACAATATTACTGTTGTTGTTGATTCAGAGTAACGCCTTACACTACAATATCACTGTTGTTGTTGATTCAGAGTAACGCCTTACACTACAATATTACTGTTGTTGATTCAGAGTAACGCCTTACACTACAATATCACTGTCTGTGAATTGTAGAGTGTTAAACTACTGCGTTACTTTTAAAGGTCTATTGGAAGATTTTCCTACATTTTAGGAAAGAACTGCTCTCTCCACTTTTTGAAAACAACGCTCTGGTCTTATCTGACGAGCATCACCAGAATCATTGACCGTGTTTCAGCAAATACATTGCAGTAATTACATTACTTTTGAGATGCGTTCCAGTCTCCCTGTCACAAACTGACAAGTTATTTTTGGTCGGTTTGTTTTACCGTTCCTTCAGTTTTAAGAAAACGATGCCATTACCTTGAGATATTTCACTGTCATACAATCGTCCGATATAGAAGAAACTAATAACCTTTTTCTACTGAGACAAGATGGACCTTGCTGAGGTGCTTTCTTATCACCCAGGTGCATATCCATTCATAAGTGTTCAGGGATAACAGTGAAAAGAACATACATGTTGTCTATCTATAGGCCGTACTTGATACATACAAGCAGAAGGTTTTCACGTTGTAGTTTAACACTTCACAATAGTTCAAAGGAAGCAGAGAATAGATACTTTTGAGAGAGAAGATGGGAGCATACAGAGAGATCAAAGTGTTGATCTAATTTGTGAGTGTGTGTCTAAATGAACACAAATACTCTGTGCTTCATGTTTGAGTTGAGTATTTTCCAGTTTCTTATGTTATTAATATCATTAATAGTAATTATGGACCACAGCGCCAAGACTCTTCTGACAACAGCACTAATCACACAAAAAGCTGTGAGCAAATTCTTTCCTTTCCAGAGTCGAACAAACTTGGAATTAGCTGCTACGAGACAAAAGAGAGAACTTGGATTGCACTAAACTACCAAACTCTATCTGGTTCCTTTCTCCAAAGCTTGAGGCAAAGTCTGAAAAACACACATCATATGGACTCCAAAGCCGACAAACTGCATTTCTTTTGTATAATGGAATCTGAAATGGAATGTGTCCTGTTCAAGACCAAGAGAAAACTTCAATGATGATATATTATGCGTGGCCTCGTATGTGCCGTTTCCAGTTGAGCTTCCTCTCGCCGGCTGTGCAAACTGGGAAGCAAATCAAGCGCCGCTAAAGCCAAACACAATTGCTTTGCTCCTTTGAATTGGCGCCTCTAGTTTCTCCCGATGAAATTTCCAAGCGACGCATGTACGAGCTGGTTGAAAGCGGCTCCGATAATCAACGCTAATTGTTGGACTTTTTATCATGTGGTGACATTGGAGCAGTCGGCCAAAACAGAGAGAGTCCACGCAGCGTGCCCACATCTGCCTCCTCGTGTGTGTGTGTGTGTGTGTGTGTGTGGATTATAAACGGAGAGGAGAGAGTTTTCTGGGTTTGTTTAGTTCAAGCGTGCAGCGCATACAGTCGAGCTGAAAGCGCAATCCAGTCATCGCCATGACAACACAAGTCATGGCGGATGTGTTGTCAAAGCACATCTTGAGATTGTGGAGGAGAGAACAGACTGAGTTCTCCATCTTTGAGCACATTTTTCAAGTAATGTAGAAAGTGTAGAAAGTGCTTCTTGTTTTGTTTTGTTTACTAGTCACTTTACCTGTTATTATTATTACAGATCCATCTGATATTTCTGTCACTCACCTGCTGATATTATTACTATTGTTTATTCTGCTCATATTCTCCGCTGCTAAAGTACAATATACACATCTGTAAACACTTCGGAACCAAGTGCAATTTTATTTTAATATATCTTACCATCTTTATATCTTATTATTTTAATTCTACCATATATTATCTTAAATAAAAGACTCTGTTTGATCTGTGAAATCTGAGTGCTCTTATGTCCTTCTTTTCAATAGCATTGATAATGAAACATGATCCTGGTGTTTATGAACCATAATAACTGACCAATCACGTCTTTGAATTTGGCGTTTTACAGTTTTGTGTGGACGGATACATTTACAGAGCCGTTTCCTTCTTTACAGACGGTTTCTAAACTATGAGGTATTTGTTTTCATGTGGACGGGGCCTAAAACACATTTGTCCTCAATCCCCTTTATTTCACGTATCAGTCAAACTTTGGCTTTCTAAAGCCTATGGAGAATTAAGAGGTAAAGCTAACAACCACTAGCGTGCTAAATGGTGCATTGTCCTGGAAAGGCAGCACTGTGGAACCCTTCAGCAGATCCAGAGGAAGCAAAAGAACATATATTGCAAACTTAACCAGTGTCAAAGGATTATAAATTGTCCCTGTGCACGTGCTAATTTATCAATTTTCCTTTTGCTGAACAAATCACTTCTTTTATCTACTTTTCTGCTAAATTTCAAATTGAACGGAGTCACTAAAGCGTCTGTTATGCTAGCCCGCTGCGCACAGCGTGACAGTAAACAAACGCACTGGGCTAAACAGTGCTTATGATGCGTGTGATGCAAGAGAGACCGCCACAACATCAAAGTCACTCTGCACTCTTCCCCAGGGGGCGGTAGAGCGAACACAACCGTCAGGCAGAGGTATGAGAGGCCGCAAGAGACTGTGTTTAATGTGAAGTCTCTGCCTGCTTTTAAAAGAGTGAAAGAAGGAAGTTTTTAAATCCTACTATTGCTAAATGGTTTCTGTCTCTCTCAAAGCCTCTGTCCTGAATTCATGAATGTTTTGGCCAAAAAGCACAAACCACGGCTTCTTTCACAAGTGAAGCAGAGCGGATTACTCCTGCAGCAGCCAATCAGCTCTCAGCTCAGAAGGGCACACACTGACTCACATGTCCCTTTGTTTTCCAGATTAATAAGTTCAAATGTGAAGTATTTAGAGCAACACAATGTTGAGCTGACTGTTTCCAGTCACACAAATATAGAAGTGTATAATTACACAATACCAAGATGTTTACTGTAAACAATTTTAGAGTTTTTCAACCAAATACATTTTTGGTCAACCTAGTCATTCATTTAGCAAAATATATATTTTTGTGAGTTCTAGAGGGTTAGGGTTAGAAGCTGCAAATAAGATGGAAGTATCCGCCCCAACATCCTCAGCCTCTGCCTCCGGGGCGGAGGACGTAACGGGGGGTTGAGGAGAACCTCGAAGTATTCCTTCCACCGCCCGACAATATCCCCAGTGGAGGTCAGCAGCTCTCCACCCGCACCGTACATGGTGTTGGCAAAGAACTGCTTCCCCCTCCTGAGTTGCGCTTGCCAGACGGTTCATATATATATATATATATATATATATATATATATATATATATATATATATATGTGATTACACACAGGTGCATTCTATTTATCATCATCAGTCATTTAGGACAACATTGGATCATTCAAAGATCCTCACTGAACTTCTGGACTGAGTTTGCTGCACTGAAAGTAAAGGGGCCCAATAATATTGCACGCCCCACTTTTCAGTTTTTTATTTGTTAAAAAAGTTTAAATTATCCAATACATTTCGTCCCACTTGTTGTTGATTCATGACAAAAAATTAAAATTTTATATCTTTATGTGTGAAGCCTGAAATGTGGCGAAATGTTGAAAGGTTCAAGGGGGCGAATACTTTCACTGTATATATATACATACAGTATATAACATGTATATATATATATATATTCTATAGTGTTGCCCAATGTCCTTTCTTATGACTGCTGCAAGTCATGATGCACTGAAAGTAACAGAAAGGCGTGACAGAAGAGACCAGAAGAAGATAACTGTAGATTAGTGCCTTTATTACCAACACTGATCATTGCTTTACAGCAAAAGAAGCACTTCATGTCTGCTCTGAGGTTTTCTAATTGAGCGTAAGGGAGTTCCTGCATTGGACTGGGCTTGGTTATGTTCAGTGGACGGGGACGCAGTAGAACATTAAGATTAAGAGAGTCTGAAACTTGCAGTAAAGTGTGAGTGCTGTATAACTTTTCTAATATATGATTTCATAAACTAATTTGTATGAAAAGCCTTAAAACTAAACTCAATGGTTAATGGTCAGAACGTAGCTTCAACAACCCTTACTAGATTAACAGGTCAACACAGATATTCCGACGTAGTGGAGAGTCCTCGGGCAAAGGCCATCTTTTGGTAAACGCAGCCTCCTCCCAGAGTAGTTTCTGAGCGAGTAGAGTGGTAACCCAGTTCATGAAGCTAAACATGAAGCTTGTTACAGATTCAGCTGTAGCCATTACTGCAGCCAAAATAACAAGGGAGGCCCGATACAGAGCCCGACAGCTGAGCACAGGAGCCGGACAAATGGGCATCACTGTCCACGAGCTGTGCAATTTTCAGTCTGTAACACAATCCTACCTGGACTATATCACAGAGTGCTCTGTCTGTGGATTTGTTTACCCCCAGAGCAAGACACGGAGTCCTTCAAATTCAATGCAAAAGATTTCTTAAAACAGATTGGGTTTGGATGATCCTGAATGAAGAGCTTCTGGTTGGTTTGTTACTGGGCGTGGAGCGCTTTGTGACTGACTGAAGAAAAACGAGTTAGTTTGTGTCGTCTGTACACTCACATGTGAAAAGACATTCGTAACTTCTTTATACTTGAATGTTTAAAGAATTCATTGTTTTGACCATATGACCCTGCAGTATCATGTAAATCAACAGATGTTTCAACCAGGGGGGGCGGGTCCTGGCTCAAAAATGTCCAAAATGCTAAAATCTGCCTCATTAGTAGCGTGAAGTGTTTCCTCTCTGGCTGAAGCTGAGGCTGAGGCTGAGGCTGAGGCTGACGCTGAGGCTGAGGCTGAGGCTGAGGCTGACGCTGAGGCTGACGCTGAGGCTGAGGCTGAGGCTGAAGCTGAGGTTGAGGCTGACGCTGAGGCTGAGGCTGACGCTGAGGTTGAGGTTGAGGCTGAGGCTGACGCTGAGGCTGAGGCTGAGGCTGAAGCTGAGGCTGAGGCTGAGGCTGACGCTGAGGCTGACGCTGAGGCTGAGGCTGAGGCTGAGGCTGACGCTGAGGCTGACGCTGAGGCTGAGGCTGAGGCTGACGCTGAGGCTGAGGCTGAGGCTGAGGTTGAGGCTGAGGCTGACGCTGAGGCTGACGCTGAGGCTGAGGCTGAGGCTGAAGCTGAAGCTGAAGCTGAGGCTGAAGCTGAGGCTGAGGCTGAGGCTGAGGCTGAGGTTGAGGCTGAGGCTGAGGCTGACGCTGAGGCTGAGGCTGAGGCTGAGGCTGAAGCTGAGGCTGAGGCTGACGCTGAGGCTGAAGCTGAAGCTGAGGCTGAGGCTGAGGTTGAGGCTGAGGCTGAGGCTGACGCTGAGGCTGACGCTGAGGCTGAGGCTGAGGCTGAGGCTGACGCTGAGGCTGAGGCTGAGGCTGAGGCTGAGGCTGAGGCTGAGGCTGAGGTTGAGGCTGAGGCTGACGCTGAGGCTGACGCTGAGGCTGAGGCTGAGGCTGAGGCTGAAGCTGAAGCTGAGGCTGAAGCTGAAGCTGAGGCTGAGGCTGAGGCTGAGGCTGAGGCTGAGGCTGAGGTTGAGGCTGAGGCTGACGCTGAGGCTGAGGCTGAGGCTGAGGCTGAAGCTGAGGCTGAGGCTGAAGCTGAAGCTGAGGCTGAGGCTGAAGCTGAAGCTGAGGCTGAAGCCGAAGCTGAAGCTGAGGCTGAGGCTGAGGCTGACGCTGAGGCTGACGCTGAGGCTGAGGCTGAGGCTGAGGCTGAGGCTGAAGCTGAGGCTGAGGCTGAGGCTGAAGCTGAAGCTGAAGCTGAGGCTGAAGCTGAAGCTGAGGCTGAAGCTGAAGCTGAAGCTGAGGCTGAGGCTGAGGCTGAAGCTGAAGCTGAGGCTGAAGCTGAGGCTGAAGCTGAAGCTGAGGCTGAAGCTGAAGCTGAGGCTGAGGCTGAGGCTGAGGCTGAAGCTGAAGCTGAAGCTGAGGCTGAGGCTGAAGCTGAGGCTGAAGCTGAGGCTGAAGCTGAAGCTGAAGCTGAGGCTGAAGCTGAAGCTGAGGCTGAGGCTGAGGCTGAAGCTGAACCTGAGGCTGAAGCTGAACCTGAGGCTGAAGTTGAAGCTGAGGCTGAAGCTGAAGCTGAGGCTGAAGCTGAAGCTGAGGCTGAAGCTGAAGCTGAGGCTGAAGCTGAACCTGAGGCTGAAGCTGAAGCTGAGGCTGAGGCTGAGGCTGAAGCTGAAGCTGAGGCTGAAGCTGAAGCTGAGGCTGAAGCTGAAGCTGAGGCTGAAGCTGAAGCTGAGGCTGAAGCTGAAGCTGAGGTTGAAGCTGAGGCTGAAGCTGAGGCTGAGGCTGAAGCTGAGGCTGAAGCTGAGGCTGAGGCTGAAGCTGAGGCTGAGGCTGAAGCTGAGGCTGAAGCTGAGGCTGAAGCTGAAGCTAAAGCAGGAACTACCTTGGACAAAAGTACATTTTCCAGATTATTTTATTTTGAGTTTGGCAAGAGCTCTGGTGTGTGTCGTCTGGTGCACACTGGGGTAGTCTTGCACAGTTTTTCCAATGTGGTTTTACTGCAAATGGCAAATAAATTAATCTGAATCTGAATCTGAGTTTGATGGTGACAAAGATGTGGAACAAAACAGTTGACGCAGCAGCATAATAAGTGCAGTAGTGTAATATTATAAATAACAGTAACAATTAATACGTATTAAGTTTTTAAAGTCACTTTCCCAATACTGGATAATGACAGGACGATGGTTTATCTTTCAGCCCTGAAGAGTCCCGGACTGATCCTGGGAATCTCTATTCAAAGCATATCAGAAGCGAAACTCAAACCCAGGCATGTTTTAGATTTAAAAAACATTATTGAAACATGATTTTGATAATAACACTCCAAAAAACCTGGATTTGACCTGATACTGCCTCAGTGGTTTCCAATCCTCTCCCTCCACAACAACCGTGGCCACATTGATCTCTGCACAATGCCTGTCATTTCACAACGTGCCCGAGGAGCAGCGAGGCCTACGTCAAACGCATCTGTAAGCAGCTCTGCAGCTCCGCTCATCAAAGCATCAGCCTGTAGCATGAATTATACAGTCAGCACGGCCTAAAAAGCTCGCCCCACTTTCTTGTCATGTCGATCTACTCAATTATTCCCTTTAAGTAACCCGGTTTACACACGCTGCCAAAAGTTCAAGCTCGCGCATTCATATTTGATGGCGGTACCTGGGGTTTTCGGCGCCTCGGGCAGTGTTCCGGCGCTAATTAAAAAGGGTTGATCAATTGGGCGGAAAATTGTGAGATAAAAGTTTTGACAACATTTGTAACGCCGGCCCACGAAGTCAAATACAAGGATTGCGGTGGAGAGTTCAGATGCTTTCAGTTTGAAGAAATGTTTGGTCAAATTAAAGAAATGATTGAACTGCCTCCATCAATGAGTGATTTTATTAAACCAAAGTCTAGGAGTGCTGCCAGGTCTCGAGTGACTCGAACCACTGCGAGAGGCGACTGTGAACTGGCGTTTAGGCGGACCGCTTTCTCACAGAACGTCCTGTCATATCAGCTTCTGGAACAGTGTTCCGGTGTCAGTGAGAAAGAACCAGTCTGCCTTCAGGAGTCATTAAAGATGAGGCTGAGGGACAAACATGTGACAGTGTTTAGATATTCATGATTATAAAACAGACGGCGAACAGGGCTGGATCAGTGCAATACAGAACGGTGCAATACGGGCCAGTGCAATACAGAACGGTGCAATATGGACCAGTGCAATACAGAACGGTGCAATACGGACCAGTGCAATACAGAACGGTGCAATACAGACCAGTGCAATACAGAACGGTGCAATACGGGCCAGTGCAATACAGAACGGTGCAATACGGGCCAGTGCAATACAGAACGGTGCAATACGGGCCAGTGCAATACAGAACGGTGCAATACGGGCCAGTGCAATACAGAACGGTGCAATACGGGCCAGTGCAATACAGAACGGTGCAATACGGGCCAGTGTAATACAGAACGGTGCAATACGGGCCAGTGTAATACAGAACGGTGCAATACGGGCCAGTGTAATACAGAATGGTGCAATACAGGCCAGTGTAATACAGAATGGTGCAATACGGGCCAGTGTAATACTTGGACAGTGTAATACTTGGACAGTCAGGACATGTGCAATACTCGGGTTGGTGCAATACTCGGGTTGGTGCAATACAGAGGCTGTGTACATTGTGCTTTGTTGTCAGGTCTTGCTGCTCGTTCTAACATGATGCAGTAACTGTTCCTGTCTCTCTGTAGAGTCTGTAAAAACTCTGTATGTTTAACTTGTGTGTAACAGCGCCCTGCAGGGGGTCTGCAGATGGAAATGAGCCTAAGGCTATAATCTGACATATTTAAATTTGTCAAAAGGTTCATTAATATACATTATTCCTCTTTTCTCAAATAAATAAATAGATAAACAAACTGCAGTCTCTCAATTAGCGAACCGAGAAAGGTGCTCGGATTTATACTGAGTTCAAGCTTAATATTCAAGCAACAATTCAATGTATATTTGTGTATTTTTATTATTTATTCTATTCCCCAAGTGAAGCGTCTTTGAGTCCAAAAAAGCGCTATACAAGGTGGATGTATTATTATTATTCAGTAGTTATCTGGGAGGACTTTACAAAGCTGTTGATTCTGCAACACAGATCAGAGAATCAAACCGTTCAAACACATGCAACGACATAAAACACGTAGATCCATCGGTCCATACGGGGCAGAGACCGATGTCCAGAAATGTGGATCATCACCGCTGTCTGAGACCCTCCTGGATCGGCCTAAAACCAATCGAAAGTAACAAAAACCGAAGCATAAGGACAAAAAACAATGCATTTTTGTAAATACCACAAATGAAAGCACAATCGACTCTTTCCCTTTTCACCCAAATGCATCCAAACTCATGAAATGATTATATGGGTGAAGGTCATGTTACTTACAAGCTTAAAGCAAAAACAAACAAGATGTTGAAGCTCATTATATGGAAGTAAAACATTAGTAAGTATAAAGATAAGGTAGAGTTTATTGATCTCACAGAATCACTCAAACTCAAAAGACAGAAGTGTGCAACACGTTAGAGGTTAAAATACAGTCTGAGTAGGGCTAGGGTCAGAGATGCATGGATTAAGATCAGGAAAGCCATTATTTGTGGAGCTCACAGCAGACAGATGACCCCTGTGCCCTATGTCCAGAACTAGGCTGGAAACATGTCTTTTTAGCTCTGCATACGACTGACTCTATTTTGTAATATTTATTGTTTTTATCTCCCTTTTTAAAACCACATTTTAATGATAGTTTTAAACCTCATACTTTAACGCTGCCCTGTTTTAATATGAAACAATTGTATATGTCCTTGACTTGAATGCATTCTGATCTGTGTTTTATTGCACTTGTGAAGAACTTTGAATTGCCTTGTACACAAAATGTTCTTTATAAATGATTGACTGATTGAACAATGACTTTCTAGTAAAATAAAATACAATTTTGACCTTTAGCACAGTAAAGATCATCCCTGACTAGTATTAATGACTGTATATTCTAGTGCAAGAATGATGTCGCATGTATACATCTGTACATGCTAGCTCTCTGTGACAGCGGACTATTTCAGATTAAGACTTTACGTAGTTATGGGGACTTCAGCGAGAGATCTAACTTACGTAAATATGATTATAGCGGGTGCTCGGCGTCGCAGCTGCCAGCCCAGAGTTGGTATTCCAAACAGCGAGCAAAACAGATTTATTATAACGATTGTATTTCCATGTCTAATATTCACTCTCCACGTCCGTGCTTCAAATCTGGACACGCTATTTTTACCACAGCGCGTCTATTCTTCGCCTCCACTGTCTGCTGGAGTGTGATGTCGCATGCAGCATTAGCCTGTCCAAACACGGGAACATTTCTTTCCAAAGATGGACATTTTGTCAAGTATCGTGAGAGTGGAGCCAGCAGACTGAGCCCAGTGACATTTACAGTCAAACTCTGTCAAAGTGAGAGCGCTTCTGGGCTCGGAGCTGCATCTTTCACAAATGTGGTCTCAGCGTTGGGTCTGATCACGGGACACAAAGCCATCCTGAGAGTGACATGTACACTTCTGTATCAGTCTGGAGAATAAGCAACATTTGTTTGCTTTTGAGTGTTGAGTTGTTGTTTTGTGCTATTTCTTTGCGTACGGTACGGTACGGTATGGCACGGTACGGTATGGTATGGTACGGTACGGTACGGTACGGTACGGTATGGTACGCACGGTACGGTATGGTACGGTATGGCACGGTACGGTATGGTATGGTACGGTACGGTATGGTACGGTACGGTACGGTACGGTACGGTATGGTACGCACGGTACGGTATGGTACGGTACGGTATGGTACGGTACGGTAAGGTACGGTACGGTACAGTATGGCACGGTACGGTATGGTATGGTACGGTACGGTATGGTACGGTACGGTACGGTACACTACGGTACGGTACGGTACGGTACGGTATGGTATGGTATGGTACGGTACGGTACACTACGGTACGGTACGTACGGTACAGTATGGTACGGTACGGTACGGTACGTACGGTACGGTACGGTACGTACGGTACAGTATGGTACGGTACGGTACAGTACGGTAATCCAAGTAATGTCAACAAAATATAATGATAATGAGTGGTCCTGTATCCATCTACTTTTATTTGACTGTTTTATAACAACCTGCTCAGGGACTACAGCTGTAGATTAGCACTGCTGCTAAAACCTGCTCAGGGACTACATCTGTAGATTAGCAATGCTGCTAAAACCTGCTCAGGGACTACAGCTGTAGATTAGCACTGCTGCTAAAACCTGCTCAGGGACTACATCTGTAGATTAGCAATGCTGCTAAAACCTGCTCAGGGACTACAGCTGTAGATTAGCAATGCTGCTAAAACCAGCTCAGGGACTACAGCTGTAGATTAGCAATGCTGGTAAAACCTGCTCAGGGACTACATGTAGATTAGCAATGCTGCTAAAACCTGCTCAGGGACTACAGCTGTAGATTAGCAATGCTGCTAAAACCTGCTCAGGGACTACAGCTGTGGATTAGCACTGCTGCTAAAACCTGCGACATCTCTCCTTTAGGCTAATGTCTATTGTAAATCATACCATTTGAAACCCAGAGCATACTGTAAATTAGTTTAGCATAGTGTTTAGAATTGTATTAAACGTTTGTACGATTCTTTTCTCCGTCTGAGACTCTCCAGTTGCTGCAGAGTGAATTGGAAAAGGCCTCGGTGCGTTCAGCTCATGTTCCTTCGCTGTGTGACAAGTGTGTGGTGTCGCCGAGGACGACACATTGTTTCGTGAAGAGAGCGAGAGATGTTTTGTTTTGTTCTGAAAGTGATCACAAACATATCTCAAGCATTTAGAAACTCATCACAAAGAATATATGAGGCGCTGGGAATGTGATAAGAAAGAAAGGCATTTAGAATCCAACAAAAGTTTTAAATGAACAAGTTTAGTGTTAAAATAACTGTAACTGCACTTTCTTTTTTTATTCTTTAGAAATGTTTTATTATGCCTTTTTCTCTTCTCTACATCTGACTTGTTTGCAGCGAGAGCCAAAGCAATATTCCAGTCTGTGACAAGCTGACTTTTAACAGGGAAAGGAGAATATTCAAGCTCTCAGCCCAAAGAGGCACATCGTGACTAACATGGCTCTATCCTTATGAAATGTTAAAGGTGCATTGGAGATGGAGTTGGCCACCTGCCTGCTGTCAAGGAAAACTGCTCATAATAAATAATTTCTCTACATTAAAAAGAGTGACAATAAAACCCAAACCCTGACTGTTTTTAACCTGGATTTGGTCATTTTTACCATTACTACTGAACTTAAAGCACATTTTAGCTTAAAGCTGCACTAACTGATTTAGCTGGCCTTGCTCTCTCTGCTCGCCCACCGCACCCACGGAGCTTTCTATCCCCGACACATCTGGATTCACTAAAATATTATCCAATTAAAATACAGAGCAGTTAACTTCTCAATAGTGAGTGGGAGCCAAAGGGAAACTTCCTCCATGAGCCACTTCCCTATTAGGCTTCAGAGAGCCACCTTTTTAAGTCTACGAACACGACCATCAAATGCTCACTTGGAAGGAGAAGTAATAGTAATATTTATGTATGTAGCGCATTTCACGGTCACCAAATGTTCAGATATTCTCTCCACACAACGATGACAGTCCTCACCAACACCATCTATTCACCCTCTCTATTGAATTAGCAGGAGATGAAACCAAAGCACCCGGAGGAAATCCATCTTAAGACACAGGGAGAACATGCAAACTCCATACAGAAAGGCCTGGAGGTGAAATCCCTAAAACAGCTACTTCCCTGGAAATCTAGCTACTATCACTCTTACTCCGACTGCTGCTCGTTTGGCTCCCGGCTCCGAAACGTGCTCACAAAAACCTGCCTGTGCCGCCTTCTCTTTTCATTCCCTTACACAATCCGACAGTCCCCAACAAACCCCCCTCATTCTGTCTACTCCGATCTCCCCCCCGCTGTCAAGTGCACTACGTGGAGCGCGGGATCCTTAACCGACTGCCACTTAAGCCAATTAGCATCCCGGAAACGACTGCATTTGTCAGGCATGGTGGCGGAGAGGTTCAGGGGCGCCGTGATAGGCTGCATCTGGGTCTGCACGCTCGGGCGCACTCTGGGCACCTGTCTGCCCTGCAGCAACAACACAGGGGGAGATGGGAGAGGGGAGGGGGGGAGGCAGAGGGGAGGCAGGGGAGCGCACCACTGACAAATCACAGCTGAATAGGAGTGTTGTGTTATATGTAATTCTGTCCGGTACAATACGGCAGAGGTCTGTGTTATGACAATGTTTTCTGGGGGAGAGTCGGCCACCTGTACGTCCCTGTTACTGTCGGAGAATGATTTTGGAATTGTTTATTTTGGAACTTACATGATATTAACTAGGGGTGAAAATTGGTAAGAATGTGACAACTCGATATGATTGCGATATTTGAGCCACAATTCAATATAATTACGGTTCTTAACATATTAAGATACAGCAAGTTTCGCGATGCAATTTTGTGTTTCAAGTCCCTCATACAATTCCAAGAGGGACATGAAACACAAACATTTAGGGAAATAAGACCTCACTACTCAAATGTCAGGTTTATTATGGTCATCCAGGACACAGGAGCTTATAACAGGATAAGACCTCATTATTCTCTGAAGGCGACCGCTCACATGAAGAGCTCCACTTACTTTAGGCAAACACAGCAGACTAACACACAGCAGATATAATAACATATAGAACATAAACCTCAGATGGAAATGACTAAAGAATAAACTCAGAGAAAACAGAAAAGTTAAACAGATAATTATTTCATTCAATATCGCACTTATACTGTATCGGTTTAATTATGTGCACAACATTCTGCGATACTTAATATGAAGAATCAGTAAGTTGGATTCTCATGCTGTCGAACAGTGAAATGCTTCTTAAAGAGGTTTCTACCTCATACCATGTGTGTTCATACTGCAGTCCTGGTATTTACGCGCGTGACCATATGGCACAACAACAGAGGGACACTTCTGCATGAAGGTTTAGCGAGTTGTTTAGACCTGTGTCAACTCTTCACCACAGGGAAGACCTGAACTCAGCAAAGCAGTAAGTACAAATAAATAAAACAAGAAATGGCAAAGTTTTTTTTTTTTTTTTCAAATATTGTTCCATCAATCTTTTAGAACATCCTCCAGCGGCTTCACCTAAACTTTTATTGGTCATATTTATATAAAAATCACATCCATGACACGTTCAAATATTCAATGGATGGATGGACCATTGCTCATACATTTATTGTTATCAAAATACTCGTTCGTTGCAAACCGAGCCGTGACAGTTTGGAGGCAGATTATATCACAACACACGTTCTGTCCGATTATTTACATTTCAAGCAGTAAATTATTTAACTTTAGATTTTATTTAAAGAAAATGGCTCCTGTGAAAAGGGTTCGTTTGAAAGAGAAGTATTCTGCTAAACCCACATGTTGAGCACATCCCACACCTGCAGCTGGACTGACTTTAATCCTGGGTTATTTCACAAATCTTCTGCAGCAAAGCTATTTTAAAGCCACAACACAAAATGAGCCGACCAGACATTCACAGAAGCAAAAGGACTGGGACCCAACACGGACTGACATTTTACGTGGAAAAATGTGGACCGCTCGCCGTGTGATTAATACGATGGCAGAGGTTTTGTGCGCTTCGAAAAGGAATATAAAATACTTTAGGTACTGGTCTTTGGAGCTCGGTTTGACATGTTCCATACAGTAACAAGATACTGGAAGGCTGCACCCCGGCCCCGCCCGGGAGCCACCTCAGTCCAAGTTCTAGATCTACAGTCTCAGTCTTGGGTCTGCAGCCTCAGTCCTGGGTCTACAGCCTCAGTCCTGGGTCTACAGCCTCAGTCCTGGGTCTACAGCCTCAGTCCTGGGTCTACAGCCTCAGTCCTGGGTCTACAGCCTCAGTCCTGGATCTACAGCCTGAGTCCTGGGTCTACAGCCTCAGTCCTGGGTCTACAGCCTCAGTCCTGGGTCTACAGCCTCAGTCCTGGGTCGACAGCCTCAGTCCTGGATCTACAGCCTGAGTCCTGGGTCTACAGCCTGAGTCCTGGGTCTACAGCCTCAGTCCTGGGTCTGCAGCCTCAGTCCTGGGTCTACAGTCTCAGTCCTGGATCTACAGCCTGAGTCCTGGGTCTACAGCCTCAGTCCTGGTTCTACAGCCTCAGTCCTGGTTCTACAGCCTCAGTCCTGGTTCTACAGCCTCAGTCCTTTTGATTTTGAATTTGAATTTGAAGGACATACGAACAGAGACGGCAACTCTCTGTCCAGCTGTGTCAT